CACACACACACACACACACACACACACACACACACACACACACACACACCTAAAGAACAGCTACCTATATCTAAAACAAAAAAAAGCTTACCTAATTAGTGTGGCTGTTTTTAGGGTCGGGGTATGGGGGATAGCTAAACAGGTGCGTGATTAAATTCCAGTACATTCTACAGGTGCCTGTTGCCATGGAGATAAAGGGAGACCTGATATTAAATCCACCCTAACCTATATGCAGTGGCGGGCCGTGCATTTTATACCAGGGCCTTCTGTGCTGTCCTACTACACTTGAGCCAGCTCCTAATAAGCTCATTATGACGCCACAGCTACGGTTATTATTTGTTTCTAGGGGTGTAACAATACACGTATTGGTATTAAACCATTCGGTATGAGGCTTACGAACCGAACAATACGTTTGAATAATACTATTGCATTTGCAAAAAGTAGAAGCTTAAATTGTGGGAAATATAATGTTTTCGGTGGACTGCACTCACGTAACAGACAACGGGCTGTGTGACCTTTTGAACCCGGAACAATAACAAAAAACAGCTGAAGCACCGCACGTGTCTTCAGGGAGGCAAAGCTAAACTAGCTTAGCGGGGAAACAACAGCGGCACACAATCTACGAACTCTCCCCACAGCGTTTGGCTGTTCCCTACTGATGCAGACAGGGCTAAAGCAATCGCCACGCAATCCCCATTTTTCCAGACCATCATTCTTGCTTTGTTAAAGAAAACAACAGCCCGGACGGATTCAATTGTCCGGACAATAACCCCGCGCATGACGGGATGCTTCGTAATTAACGGACAATGCATATAGTCCAAATCAATGTAATTAACACAATGACAAGAACAAACTCACAAGAACCAGTCACATATATTTATATGACAACAAAGCAACAAATCAATCCAGCAACGCTGCAGCGCTAGAGCACGAGCCATTCATATTATTCATAAAAACGACACGACAGACAAATTAACGCAGTAGAAACGCTACTGCAGATGTAAAAAAACAAAAGCAGTTAACTTACCAAAGCTGCTGTTCACTTAAAGACAAAGTCCATCCTCCTTTCTTTGTTAACAAAGTCAGTAACTCACAAATCCATTTCTCCTCCTCCTTCAGCCATTGAGTGTTAAAAAAAACAAAGCTAGGTAAAAAAAAATAAAAAATCTACACCAAGCAAAACACTAAAAATGTCATAACTTCTTACATATGTTTCAACCTGAACTCTTACTAAACACTAAAATCTGCTAGCTAGCTTTCTGTTGAATGAAAGTCACGCTGGCCCACTGACCAATCACGGCGCACGTTAATGCAGACGTTCTTAGGAGGCTACCTGGGTAGCAGTGGCACATCAAAGAATACGCCCAACATGTAAAACTAAAGATCTGATTGGTTGAAGACTATGACAATCAACAATATCGTCCCTATTTACTTAAACTGCAAAGTCTACCTAGAGGACCTCGGGCCTCTCTCCTTACATAGAGAAATAGAGGCTTAATCTGATAGGCTAAAAGCTCTCCTTAAAACAAGCTGTGCTGGAAGCAGCGCTGCAGGCTGGAAGCAGAGCAACAGAGGAAGACGGGAGCTGTGCAATGACAAAATAAGCTAATGGGGAAAACAATTATAATACATGTAGTGTATTTGTGAAAAATTATTAAATTATAAAATAGCTATAACTTTGTGATTCTGTTTAGGCCAGCAGAGAACGCTTAGCTGGCCCTGACGGCCCACCATATAGGCATATTCTATGTCAGATGTGATTTGAACATCTTTGGTATTTATATGGATTATTCAGTATATCTAAGACACAAGCACAGACATTCTTCACATGTAATAAAAATGGATTGAGATGAACAAAGCCCTTCATTAACACTGTTATCTTAGTCTTTATTTTGTCACAATTGTATGTCAAATATATATATATGTCTATATGACATATATTATATGACATATATAATTTCATTTCTTTACAATAGAGAAACAACATAGAGATGACACACTATTTTGGTTTCTAAGTAGAAGCTCCGTTTAAATAGTGGCATTTTTTTCCAAACACTGTTTAAGTCAAGCTCCCACTCAAGTCATGGTTTTGTTTTCCTTATTGAGTCACATTTATTCACAATGTGCGTTTGCTCGTCTCTTCTTCTTTATAATTAGATGTCAGTATTTTTTTGACTGCAGTTCAATCTGTTCATGTTACATCAAAATTGACGGCCTTCTGTTATTGGTCCGTGTGGCCTCACAGATGGTTCCACCTGCTAACCATCCTGTGCCACCAGTAAAGGTATACAGTTATTGAATACAGTGTCTTTGAAGCTTTACAGAGTTAATCCAATCAGCTTGCAGAGGGCCTGGCATAAGCGTTTCCAGTTCCTCTGCAGCTGGGCCCTTTGCTGGCCAAGGAGAAGTGTGCGCCTCCGCACACGAGGGACGTCTGACCTTGGCACTGTCCCTGGGCTTCTCTTTGGCCTGCTGCCTTCAAACCTCTGGTCCCACCGCCTGTGTGCAGAACTCTGGCTGAACATTGGACACAATTCCCCTCTGACTCCTGCACAGTCCCAGCCTCGAGAGTGTTTGTGCCACCGTGGTGGATCTCGCTTTGAGAGCCGGACATTTTCATGGGGATGGAGAGGCTTTTCTGTTTTAATTCCTGCTCGAGTTCCACTGTAATTTCAAAGGAGCAGGGTGTTTGAGCGGAGCTGAGATTCTTCTTCGACCCCAGTGTAACGATGATGGTGGCAGGAGGGCTTACACTGCTGGGCATAACACCAGGCGCCAGCCTGACACTCTCACAGGGCGAAGACGGAGAACCGCTCCCGGGCACCGCTGTCTTTCCAGCCAACGCGGGGTGCCACCTGAGGAGCGCCCGTTGGTTCCGCTCACTCGTGTCCACATTCTCGAGGTCACATGCTTGCAGGGAGGGAATGATGGGCACAGAACGGGTGCGCAGGGAAGGTGGAAGGTAGGTTGTTCCCTTATCCAGACGGGTGGATGGGACCTCGGTCCATCCCTTTCTGGCTGCGAAGTGAGAGAGTGACGTCCTGCTGAGGAGGGCGCCGACCTTTCCGCTGGCAGAATCACACCTTTAGGCAGAAGAAAGAATAGAAATGGCAGTGTGAGAGAGAGAGAGAGAGAGAGAGAGAGAGAGAGAGACCAAGTCATTTAAATTGTGACCTTTTAGTCCGAGACAGTCATTTCCTAAGAGGAATAAAATATAGAATATGGAGATAAAAGTGGCCATTCCATTCTGCTTTTTACGATTTCATTCCCCTCAGTGGTCTGTACAAAAAAACTAATCTTGCACCGAGAAAAATATTATTTAGGTATTGTTCTTTCGTAATCTTGTGTAATTATTTATAATCCTCGACATAAGCAGTCCATATTGTTGCTGCATGAACTGAAAAATGCCTTCTCTCTTGACTGCCTTATCAGAGATTTAAGGCTTTAGAAACACAGCAGCCTGACCCCGGCCTGTGGGAGGATGTGGAAAAATGTGTCTCCTTGAACATGTGTGTTCTAATTTCGACTACATAATCCAACAGAATACATCTAGTCTGACGGATTTATAATGGGACAATAGGGGCTAGTCCTGTTCGTGGGTGTGAGAGTCTCAGCATGCATGTTTGCATGCTGATGCATCTTGCCACCAAGTATGAGGGAATTATCTCGGAACAGTGCCGACAAGCTTGAAAGGCATCATGTTCAGTATGAAAATAATACAGGAGAGCAGGGAAACGTATCCAGACTCAAGTGGGCAAGTTTGTATATGAGTTGAATGTGCACAAGAGTTAATATTGTTACTGAAAACTCAATTCACATTTAGAATCACCCTGGAGCCTTAGGAGACAGCCAGTGTTATTGTCAGCCTTCAGAGACTGTTTGCAGCATAACCAAGTTTAAATAATTGAATTTCTTTCCTATTCCTCCCTTGGTATTAGAAGGGCAAATGCAAGCTGGAGGTAAATCCGGCAGATCAAAACACATCTAAAAATAACTCCCGTAGCAAATTTACCGACAATTCTGTCCTTATCTTTGATAAGTAAATATATGTTTTGACACTGGATAATGAAACTGACAATACTCTGCGGGGATTTGTTGTCTCAAAATGGAAAACATGGAGTGTTCTCATGTTTGTTTGCTGTCGTCGCCTCGAACACCTTCTACTGCACTCTGTGCCTCCATGTTTCCTTCGCTGCACTCATCATCTCTGCACAATCTCCCTCCTTTCCTCACCTACCCCTCTCTCGTTCTCTCACTCTCCTTTCCACCTCCCATTTCTCATTTCCAGAGATGAGAGAGTGTATCCATGGCAACAAGGGAGAGGAGGGGGCTGGAGGAGGGGGAGGAGGAGGTGGAGGAGGGGGCTGTGTAAGCTTGGTAGCTTGTTGTATAGCTGTTATGTCCAGAAATACGTCAATTCAACCTCCTGAAGGCCAGCGCAATATACTCGACTTATGGATCTACGAGGGAATTATCAATGGATAATGAGATCTAAATTGTTTAACTGTACAAACGCAATCTTAGCCCAGAGAAGATTAGAGACCCTCAGCTCTTCTCCTAAAGACTTGAGAAAGCTGTGTTAGGTTAAATTGCCTATAGCTTACAGATTTTGCCTTTGTCATTTTAAAATAGAAGTCTCATTCGTTTCTTTAGTAGTTTGTTTATTTGTCATTCTGTGTGTTAAGAGGGAAACTGCTATGCTCCTGGAGGATCTCCCCGCACAACCATTTGAAAGAACTGCTGAGCTCCATGGAGCTTTGTTTAAAAATGTAAATTATGGAAATAGGTCACATAAAGAGTTTGGCAGCTTGCAGTGCATCTTACAAGCCACTGTAGTGCTCAATCAGGTTGGCATGCTAATAGAAACATTGCTTGGCACTTTTAAGTGTGTGGAATGCACGAGGGACACTACTGCTTTAACGACAGACGTTTTCTGATAACAGTGCCATCGTTCAAGTTGCACACACTGACAGCAAATTAGGCTGTTCCTGAGTCGTATATGCTAAATAGGACTGCCTTACTCAGGCTTAAAGATGCTCTCTTCTGCATCCTTAAATAAATCCTAAAATAATGAAATGTTTTTATTGTTACTAGTTGAAGAGAACCGCTTAACATTATGCACGACTCGACTTAGAAAAACAAGCTTTTCAGTCAACAGTGAAAGATAAATATTTTCCAGCTTTGCGACGTGTTACAAAACAATCAATCAGATTCATAATCTGAAGATCTTTGAGGCAAAAAGAAAAGTCTTAACAGAAATACTTTGTCTTAACATGGATCATCTCCTCCCTCCTTGAAGACATGAGGTGAACATCCCCCTTTGATAACAAACGTGTCAGACATGATTTTATTTCAAGCTATTCTTTTAAACCCATGCCAGCGATGATCATCTGACTGTACTTTTAAAATGTGTGAGTTATTTTAAGCCCCCAGATCGCCAACTGGCGAGAAGTGTCTCTGGCAAAAGTCCTCCCTGCTTCTAAAGCCTCCTGAAACAGCGCCAGTAGCTGTGCTTCACTTCTGATAGCCATGAAATAGGGCAACTCCCTGTCCTTACTTGACACCAGGATGAGCATAAGGAGGAGAATTTAAGATGTGTCAATGCCTGAAATTAATTCTTTGCAATTTGTAGTCTTGTTCTAGAAGGCTGCAGCCAGCCAATATGGCTTCATATTTAGCTTGTACATTACAACAAATGTAATTATTTATTTCATGTGTTAACCACAAAGCTTATACATAACACTCAAGCGTTAGCCAATATCAACCCATTCTGGACATCTAGAAATTCCTGTGAACTGGTGCATCATCTGGTAATTAGCTTTGGCGGTGTCGTTGTATTTTTAACCCTGATAAAACCCTGCAGGTAAATCACATCTTCATTCACAGCAACAACCCAGTGGCAAGTGTACCAAGTGTATGGAGGATTACACACAGACTAATTTCCTGGACTTCCCCAGCACCATGATAGTGTTGAGCAGTCGGGATCAAGTGTGTTCTCCAAATTAATTGTGACAGTCTCAGTTGAAGGAGGGCTCAGCAGATCTCATTTATTTCCCTGGATCAGATTTCATCAAGCTAGTTCATGGATGTGGACTGCGGGGATTTCAGTCATAAACTCATTTTTTCCCCCAAATTATCCTTCTGCCACTCCAACTTAACCTCAGTTAGTCTAGCCAGTGTCACTGAACCGGTTATTTGACATCAGCGTGGAAAGGGGCAAAGAGAATTTCCTCTTTGAGGGATCAAACAAACACAACAAAACTATCGAAAGAGAAAGTCAAAGTTTCACCTTCTTATGGACTCCATGTCTGTTGGCTCATCCTCCTGCAAGTGTTTGTAGACGTGGCCATTCACTCTGGATCCATCAATGAGATTGGTCGATATTTTGTGTTTCCCTCTCGAGATGGGTGGGGTCCTGAAGTAACTGGTCTCCCTCCGTTGTTGGGCAGGACTGAGTGAAAGGGAACTACTCCTGTAACCAGAAGGGAATATCACAGTTTTAACACTATAGTTTACAAACGTTGCATGAATTCAAACAGCGCTCACTAATCTATTTATTGTATTAAACGCATCTCATCTCCTGTGCTCATTGATATGATGGACTGGACTGGATTGACCTTTCTGTTTGACGCTTGAGTGGAAAAGAAGCATCACATTTCACATTCAGTTGACTCAGTGCATTAATAATCTTGGTATTGAAGTGTAAGCGTCAGACTGGGGTTGTGAAAAGAGTAATTCACCAATAAGCAATACAAATTACATTCACATTAAATCATTTGGCATGGCACAATCAAATAGGAGAAAATAGAGAGAAGGATTTGACTCAAGAGTCAGCAGCTCTGTGAGGACGTACTTGAGCTAAATGCTAACATTAGTGACAATGCTAACATGCTGATGATGAGCAGGTTTGCTAGGTTCACTAGTTTAGCCTGTTAGCATGCTAATATTTCCGATACCCCACATGAAAATGACCAGAATACATCGCTATCCTGCTGCCATCAAGGATCTTTAGAACCCGGCTTCCTGCCCAGACGCCCTGTTTTTAATTGTTCTGTTGGCAGCAAGTGGTCAACTTTAAAGCAGATCCCTGCACGTCTGCAGCAATAAAGACATGACATCTAATGTGAATCAAAGTTATACTGCACTATATTGCAATCCCATATGCGTGCATATCGTGCAAAAACAAATAACTCCCACGGCAGTGTGGGAGTAGGAAATACAGATTTTGGGTTTATTTGAATACATTTCAGCACTGTAGCTGCCTTGTCGATCACCTGCTACTCTTTCCTTTGTGGGCAACAGGTCACTTGATTGTGTTAGTTTAACTGAACCACAAAATCTTTTTATAACATTATTAGTGCTGGGTGAAAAACTTGTTTGCATTGAAGCACTGAACACAAATCAGCAACAAACATTCTCCGAACTTGATTTTGGCTCTTGAATAATTTGGCATTGCGGCAGTGACACATTAAAAATAGACTCTGTATGAAGTGGTGGACTGTGTTTAAATGTTAATCAAGATATTCAAACCTTGAGATTTTTTTTAGCTTGTCCTTCAACTGAACTCCCCCATTCCCTTTAATACAGGCAGTAAACTAAATAGTCCAGTACACATCTGGTTATTAATTGATAGCTGACTGGACCCCTGTGTAAAAAATAATCAGCTATAATAATTCCCAAATGTCCGTGGCTGTGGAACAATAAGCATGGCTAATGTTGGCCCTAGTCTTCGCCAGCATGAACGTCCGCATCGACTGATGTTGTAAAAAGTTTACATGAATAAAGCTGAATTATGTCAGTTTTGTTCGCTATTAGCATGCTGATTTTTTAATTAGGATTAACTGAAAGCTGGAAAAAATTTAAATATGATTTTGTGAACAAAATCACCAGGCTGTTGTAGTTATTGAATGTTAAAGGTCTAAAACTGAAAGGCAGCTGTTTATCTTCACAATTACAATAAAAAAAAAGTACAACCTCCTGATGTTAAATGGGTAATACTGGATGTGAGAGTAATCCAGCACGTATTTCATTAAGTTTTTCTCTGTTTGTGCCATCTTTTGGACATACGAGAGAGAGAGAGAGAGGCAGAAAACACTGGGAGACAGAGGAGGATGACACGTGACAAGAATAAACACCCTTACCCACAGAACCAGCAGGACACAACAACACAGCACTTCTAATATATGCATGTTTTCACTGACTCAATTTGAGAATATTGATTAGCCTACAATTTCCTTATAATCCAATTATGACGACGGGATCTGGGGATTGATCAAATTCCAACAATAGCACAAATGACAACAACGTTTTGACTACTGGCAGTGTGATGATTATACATTGACTTGGACGGTGTTATTTCCATCAGATTTTGCTGGCAAAGCAACTCGGAAATATGCTTGAGAACAGGCGGAACAGAAGGAGCTGTGCTGGTCAGTTCATTCAGAACTTATCCAAATTGGAAATGATTGGTTCAAAATGATGGATTTGTTCAGTTCTCCCCACTGACATGTGTACAACAAGCAACAGAGAGGGAAAGTTTTAATTCTTAAATACTAGCCACATGGCTCGAGGGATGTTTGTCTTTGGTCCAGACTGAATTATCTTTTAAAGACATTCAGTCTATGGATTTTTATAATCCCCTGGCTTTTCTTCTAGCGTCACAATGACGTCAAGCATTTTAGTTGAAGTTAACCGAGGGTCAAGGTCACTCTTTATTGTCCCACTTGGGGAAATTAACACCATTAATGGCCAAATACCAGCAAAACACCTATTCCCATCAGCCTAAGATGCCCTTTGTGTCTAGTGCTAACTAACTAAAGTTAGCAAGCCAAAACTAACCTACGATGGTGAACATGGTAAACTTTAAATCTGCTAAACAACAGGATTTTAGGATGTCATTCTGAGCATGTTTGCATGCTAAAGTTAGCATTTATCTCAAAACACCTTTGTACAGCCTAAAACATATATGTTTTTGAATCTTTATGTGTGATATCTATTTAGTGATTTATGTGACATTTACATTGTTTTCACAAAATCCCAGTTCAACAGATAAGCTGTGCATTCGGGCATGTGAATCCATCTGCACATGCTCATACCCAGTGCTAAATCTTATGCTACTCAGTTAACCTTCTGCAGCAATATTGATGGCACATATTGACATGCTTTTATGGAGCATTTCTCCTGACCGCTCCAAATGTGCTCCACTTCTCTCAGGTCAATAGCTGAAAGCATCTGAACATCATCCATCACAGTCAAGTTCTCGTCTGCCTCCTCTGAGAACAAGCTGAACACATGATTGACTGTCAGCTGCCCTCCGTGAAGCACCTGCATTACACTGTAGAGAATATAAAGCCAGGACGAGTCGGTACATCCTGACTGTACTGTATCTCCTCACTGCATAACGGTTAATTTGTCTAATGCGCACAGCAGTGTAATGAGACTTCAAATAAATGTGTGGAGCCTTATGCACAGCCTGCTCTCTTATCCAGAGTGGCTTTCAATGCTGCTCAACACCATCAGATCAAGTAAAAGGCAGACATTTATCCCACAGATTTACAAACAATGAGTGTAATAGCTGCAAAGGGGAAAACATTTTTCTGAAACGACTTCTTGCACGCTGTGTGGCTGAATGTCATTAACTTGTCATAGTGTGCGCGCACCCATATCATCAAAGCAAATGAAGCTTTCCTGTAAACATCCCACATAGGGTGATTGTAACACGCAGCACGCTCTATACCCACATCCCTGTGTTGTTCATTTTGTTGAATCATCTGTCACTCGAAGGATGGCATGAAAGGAATTTGGTTGAACCAATGTTTAACTCTGCATATTAATTAAACAGAGGACGTCTCCTCTTCCCTATCAGTGTGCAAGAAGTCACTTCTGCCTGAGCACACATTTGCCCAATTTACTGGACATGCCATGTAAATATAGACATCTTCATTCCTAACTATTTTGAGAGACGGTAATTCATTTAATTAACCTAGCCAAACCAATAAGCCTCCTATAAAACGTCAGATTCTAACTAAGAATATGCACACAGGCAAAGCTTATGGTGTTGACTATATATCCAAGGTTTATATTAACATAGTGGCCCCAAATTATAATCACCATAAATCTTTCTTACAATTTTACAAAAGATCTGTTTATCATTTGGAGGTCTATATTTTCTACCGTATTGCAGGATGATTACATTTCTCACTTGGCTGCCTCTAATATCTGGATGTGGTGAACGATATGAGACAGGAAATAAGAGGATGTCACATTGTCACCTGAAGCGTTTCCCTTTAGACAGCGCTCTGCTGAGAATAGGTGGCGCTACTGTTGATGTGCCTGCTGCCGCCACGCTGCTGCCCTTAACAGATGATCCGTGAGAACGGCAGCTCTGCAAAACATGAAGAACAATAGTGGGTACAGTGAGCCGTAAAACATGGTAATTGTTGCTTCAGGATGTATCTTCGGTATTATCCTCAGGCTATGAGAAAGACACAAACATGAAGCTCCTTTATTACAGTTTAGCTTGGATTCATTTGTTGTAACAATCAAAAACAAGATGGTCAGGTGTGAGGGATTATCTAAGTCAACACAGGAATAAGATCAGGGTGTAATGCTTAATGCAGCGGATACTGTATGGGGTTTAGTAGCAAGTCCCCACTCAGGTTTAAGTCCCCAGTCAGGTTGAGGATGTATCCCCCTTAGTGCAGCAGAGTGTCTTTAATTACACTTTACATTTTAAACTGCAGATTAGGAGGGGACACTTTGTGAATAAACTCCACCATGGCCCTCATAACACTCCCGCTGCACTAAAGAATTAATCCCACACAAGATTATATTAATGGTTTCCTAAAGAATTTCCCCCCTCAATTCTTTCCCTTTATTCTTATCAAAATTAACACCATTATCTCACAACAGGCCCCAGACAGAGCCCTGGCACAGCGACCACGGATGCCCCAAGAACCCCCCGTGTGAGGCACTAAGTCATGAGATAATTCTGTTATTCCAGTTACAGTACTTCCTGCGCTGCCCTTTCTCTCTGTCTGATTTTACCATCATTAAAGCAATTGCATGTGACTTGGAGCCAGTTCAGGGTGCTCACGCCTGATAAGCCTCTTTCTCTCCCTTACACCCTTGACTCCCAGAGGGAGCTGTTACTGCTGGAAACCAGTTGTGCAAGAAAATAGGATCATTTTGGCCACCCTCTCATATACCCTGCAGGTCTAAGCCTCACTTTCTGGAACAATTACTGTGGCAAACTTTCCCAGAGGATGATATCGATGTCAGGGGATAAAATAAATAGTTTGTGGAAGACAATGGCAGACCTGCATGCCATAACCCATTTTGCTTGTTTGCTCCTATCTCATTTTTTGCCTTGTTTTATACCACTTTATTTCAAGGGGAAACAGAGGGAAAACACAGAACAAATCTGTCAATATGTTGACTATCAACTACATAACAAGGAGACAGGCAAACCTTTGCATTCAGAGCAGCATTAATCCTCCTTGGATTACCATCAAATCACATGTCCTGAACTCTGCATAATGGGACATTTGACCATTCTTCACGAAGGACATTCGTTGGGTTAGCAGCAGAACAAACCACCGGCATATGTAGTTTACTGCTCAAACAGAGCAATGTGTCAACGTGACTACCATTGCTAGCAGACGCAGTTTTGGCTCTACAAGACCAAAATGTGAATCACTTGTTTTAGAATTATGCACTGACATGCACATTAGCATTGAGTTTGTAACTGTTGACAGCATTATTAATGTTCAAGCTGCACTGGCCTTTCCCTTTTATTAATCATGGAGCTACCTGCGGAAGCTTCTGTCACAACACTAACTGAACAAGTTGCTAATATTCATCCCGCATTTACTGTTCATACTGGCATCCTGGTTAATTCTCTGACGGGACTGGGCTTTTTTTTTTTTTTAAAGCTACAGTATGATATAAACACACGTCTTCAAAAGACAGTTTCATGCACATGAATCTCATATTTTTTCATAAACCTGATATTTTAAACTTTCTCTTAATATGAAAATACTCTAAAGGAGTGTTTATTTATTATTTAAATGTTGTCAATTGTCTTGTAGAAGAGGACGCTGTGTCTGTGACACCACATGAGCTGAGAGTAATATTGACTTTGGTGTAACAGAACACAGCCCTGTGGCACACCACCCTGTGGCTTTTATTAAAATACATTTCTGTGGATTTCCGTACACAAGGCTCTGTTCTGTGGCCCTTACTGTTCTCTACTGCCATGAAGTATTCATACCGCCTTGCCTCATACCTGAGGGCTACCCACTCTCTTCTTAAAGTAAGACTAGTTAGTTACCTCCAGCTTCAGACTGAAGGGAATTGAGTTTTTCTAGTCTTGTCTTCCCAGCCTGTGTGCCCCTATTCCTTCATGTTGGTGCATGTCTGTTTCAGTGCAGTGTGTCCCATGGGTGTGTAACCCATCTCTTTTTATTTGACACACACTCCTTTTGCCACAGAGGTGTTGATTAAACACTCAGAGGCATGGGAGGCATTTAACTCTTCAATTACATTCACATTCTTCTTTTGGTTTCCTTTCCCTTAAAAAGTGCCTTGAAAGAAGTCACACTATGCAATATGACTCATATATAATAGGTATTTAGAGTTAAGTGCAGGAGCGTGTTGAATCCACAAGGCTATTTAAAATCACAATCACAGATGGAGGTAACATATGCACAGGATTTTTTTCCAGATGTGCTAAATTTTACAGGTATTTGCGATGACAGATGAAAGAGACACATACATATGTAGAAATGCTGCACGAGCCAGGGCAGGTGCGCAAAGAAGTCGGACATAATAGTGCAGGGCTGTGAAGTATAGAGGCAGGGCAGGTGCCCTGGTGTCTATTTTAAAAAGGTGCCACGGGTTTAGTAACCTGATTTGGCTCAGACCTTGCTGCAGAAAGCAATGTATAACAATGATGTCAGCATTTATTGTATAACTCTTTGCATTGCTACTCAGCAAAAACCCGGAGAGAAAACGTCTTGGTCTATAATATCTGAGTTCAGGGAGTTGACATGTTTTTGGGGAGGTTAAAGATACTCGAGCGGCACCTCAGTTTATCATAGAGACGATAAGGAAGACACTGACCAAAATGGACTTTAGTTTCATCGTCCCCTCTGCACCTGCCTCGACAGAGCCAGCCTGCTTTCACAGCTCACTGCACTCATCCTCCACCTTACTGCTTCAAACGCACACAGAAGAAAACCATGCCGAATACTTTGCGGCGAACATTTTGAGCCTCTTTTGGAACACTCTGCTCTGTTCTTCCTCGGAGTGTTTTTTTTTTCTCCATTTTGTCAGTCCAACTCATCCTTTACATAAAACCTAGAGAACTTGTAGGACTGCACCACTCACAGCACATGTCCTCTCCCTAGACAGTTGAAAGCTGAGGGAGTGGGTGGAGAGAAGCAGTGGTCTGGGGGTTGCTGTGTCAAATCTGTGGAAAAATAGGTTTCGCTTGTTAATCTTTTCCTGGTCTGTTCAGCTCATGCCCCTTGTGAGTGTTTATAGGTGATGTTTAACATCCCACCTTAAGCTTCCTTCCCACTGTTCTATTACAGCTTGTGTTTCTGTGTTGTTATTGCTGTCTTTTATTTTTGTCTTTGCCTTCCTCTTGGCCTCCTCCCTGTGTCCAGCTCTGAAAGCATTTTGTGGCTGGATACAGGGCATCACTTCATGCTGAGCTCTCATACAATCCTGTCACCACATTCTCATCGCCATGTTGTTAATATAATAGCCTGCTATTGTGCTATGGGACGATTGGCCTGCGTCCGACTGAAATGCATTAAACTGGACTCCGATGTGCTGAGACTAGTTGGGTGGCAGTGGAGGGTTGTGCTGTGTTTTCTGTCTTATTTGAAAGTCATTTGAATTTGAGTTTTTTTTATTTAACACAGCTACTTAATAGCAGCAACATTTACATCAAATGTTGTACGACTACTTTGCTGTCAAGTGCTCGAAGCCCTAATTTCAACTGCAGGTCCGTGGGTGGGGCTGGCTTGAGGGTTTTTTTGTTTCAGCGGGCGACAATAGACACTGTTGCATTATTGAAGAGATTCAGTACAGGCCTCATTTGGGAACACATAAATGACAGAACAAGGCTGAACTTGAATGAGGAATTTCAGGCAACAACAAATACATTTGTGTCTTAGACAAACGTGTTGGTTATCAAACAGGCGTACCACCCTATTTCCTCCTTTATGCGTACATATTTAAGTGAGAGTCATGCAAATTGCAGAAGTTGTGAAGTATTTATTTATGTTCTCGAAATTTGTGAGTGTCAGTAACACCTGGAGATTTTCACATCTATAAAGAGCAGGTGCACATTAGCACATGCGTATGATAGAAAATCAGTAATGCGTGTAACTTCCTTAAACAATGACAGAAAAATGCACACCAAACAACAACAAAGACAACAACAACATAGCATCTTATTATGAAGATAAAATGTGCAGACACTATGTGATCATTCTTCGAACACCAAACAAAGAGGGCGTATTCAGAAGAGTGCTAATGCGTTACAGCAATTGCACTCCTTTGATGAGAAGCTCATAAGTGTGCATTAGGCTTCAATTACCTTGGGATTCTGTGGAAACATCGGCCTGATCAGTGTCTTCTACATCCTCCACGCGCTCTGCTATGAATGTCTGGGTCAGTTTTCTCTCCAGCAGTGTCTGCCACTGCGGGCCGTGGTGGCTTTTAATCAATTTCAAGCTACTTTTTTCTTTTATGTCGACACCCTGCCATTTCCTTTCACTTAAAGCAGAGGTTTGTCTGTGGGATTTTTCATTGTGAGAAATAGCTGCCAAAATTAGACTTCTTTCCCTTGGGCTCCTACCGTTTCTCTCCAAAATGTTTCAGTGTTGTGTTTCTTCATTAATCAATACCTTAATCACACAACTTTTTTTCTTTTCAATTCCTGAGCTGAGTTGAGGGTTACAAATGTCAAGAGAAGGAATTTCCATTTGCATACAGCAAGTGAATGCACCACTAATAAAGTTTTGCCATTCTCAGGAGAAAAATAATACTAGTAAAGTGCCATTTAACATTATTTGTCTACTATGCAGTTTTGATGCTGTGCTTGCATTGTGAGTTCAGGACCCACTACACGCCATGGATCAGAATTTCTAATCTGCAATTTGTAACAGGAAACTGTCATTGTGAACATGACAAGCAGATTTTTCCTGTTTAACACACAATGCATTTATTTGAAACTCTAAATTGCCACTGTCTCTCAGCCTGTCAGATACGAGTGTGAACAAAAGGCTTCAGCCAGTAGAGATACTATTAAGACACACATCGTACATCATCCTGTCAGACACTCTAAACTAAAGAAGTACTATACATATTAAGATGAAAATGATCATAATGATGATAAAGACATGACTGGAAATAAATCAATACTAGGTTAAGACTTACCTTTTGGAGTTGGAGGCTGTATTGGAGCCTGGGAGTAGATTTGGACATGAGGCCAGAGGCGTTCACACTGCAGTCCCTCAGGCTGCGGCTCTCAGAGAAATGAGCCTGGAGTTTTTCCCTGTGTCTTCTGTGGAAGAATGCAGGTGTGGGGAGAAAGAGAGACATTGTCACGACGAGAAATGACCATCATGGTGTGCTCCACTATAAAGTCTCTGTCTCCATTAGCTATTTACCTCATGCATTCTTTCTAATGATAACACACGCTGATAGCAGTCTTTAGTCCAGTCATTGATTTCCGTGACCTACTTGGCCACAGCTCTTTATACACCCATGTAACAGAGATTTATAGACATAATAATACCCTTTCATTCTTGACACACACTTTACTGTCCATTTACACATACATTCATTCCTGCATCACCATCAGTGGACAATCACACTACACCAACCAAGTGTGGCCCTCTGGTTTATGGGCATTTTGAAAAAAAAAAAAAAAAAAATAGAATAGAATACTTACTTTTACGGTCTTTTCCCATAATATTACACGCACACACACACACACACACACACACACACACACACACACACACCCATATCGATATATATTGTTGTTCATGTGCGGGCACCTTGATAGGTTAAAATATCATCAGCTCACATATGGACTTTTTCTTCCAGAGCTGTAACTGAAGGTTCGATGGTGGTGAAAAGTGCTCAAACTGGTTGCAAAAATAGCATTAGGAGGAAAGATGTCTTGCACAACTGCAAATTTAATTAAGGAAATGTACCGTGAAATGTCCATTACATGCCTTTGTGATAATTTTCTGAGAAAAGGAATAAAGAAAGACAACGCTTTTCCAGAAATACCTTCACAGAGAGTTTCAAACTTTACAGAGGAAGACTACAAAGGAACATGTCTAGTTGGATGTTTTAATGGATAGATAATGTGGATGCATGTTTAATCCAAACCTGCGAAGTGAACTTGTCCCATTGATGGTTAATTTATCCTTCTGCATCTGGTGAGTTAAGCAGACTTTTCTGCTTCATAGATAGCTTACATATTTTTGTCACCTGTACAATATTATTGCCAATCTTCACCATAAAAAGGCTCTTATGAAGAAACAATGTGAGACAGACAAGCAAAATGGCATCTTTTTGCAATGCTAAATATAAAATATGACAGTGTTCCTTCATTTTAGAATTAAACTTTGATTAGATTATAAATTAATTAATGCTTGAGAGTTAATTAAATGTTAATTCATCATCAAATGTTCATTCTTAAATAAGAGGTTGGTAAACTCTCTCTGCAGCTAAGGCTTCAGGTTAAATGCCTCTGGAGTAAATTACATGGTCTTACGGCCACCGCCGAAGCCAGCCCAGTGTGTTTAACCTTTCTTGTAGTGTGATTTGTATGCTTGATAGGATGTGTGGTCCTCTGTACGCAATTGGTTCCCTCCTGCTGAGGCGTGGCTCATCTCTGACTGTCTCACAAGCCGGGGATCGTGATTGGTACTTAAGGTTCAAATGCCTGGACAGCTTGACAGGCAGCTGAGGTTAAGTGGGCCCAAGTGCCTCTTTTTGTCATTGTTTCAAAGCTATTGTTAATTGTTAAATTGACTCTGTGATTAGTTATTGAGGTACTCTCTAGCTACCAGTGTACAGGGCCAGGCCTAGTTTTAATCCCTAATTGCACACACGTTTAGATATTCTGTAATTTAGAGACACGAAGTGCAAGGGTGCTGTATTGAACTGTGTTTCATTTGACTTCTAAACAATACTGGCCGGTAGTGAGGTTTTTATTTTCCATTTTTGGTTTCTTTAGAGTAAGTTCCTTGTAGTTCTTATTTTAAGAGTCCTCTTTTTCATATACTTATGTATAACACCCACAAGCCCCTTTCATTTGTAGTTTGCCTACATTTTCATTTTTGTGTGTTATCTAAGCTCCTTAAAATTAAATGAAATAACTTTATTTTTACCAAACATATCTTTATGTTGCCTCCCTTTCCTTTTATGAGCTGGGTTGTTACACATGAGTAAGCAAATGAGTAAACTGGTTGAAAAGGACAACAAACTGTGAACAATAAATGTTCATTGGCTGTGTCAATTCTTATTCAGGTGTGCTCAATTATTACATAAGCTTACTAAATCATGCTATGCAATATGGTGCAGTATTATTACTTACTGAAGTGAATTTCATAGTCCAATCCATGACAATCAGCGACTGATGATGGCTATTTTGCAAGTTCAAACGCTATCATGAAGGAACTACTGGTTAATCCTCTCTGTGAAGTACTGATACAAATGAAATTTCAGGTCTTTACTGAAGAGCAGTGTACACTTAAAGTTCATTGCGGGAGAAGCTAAACTGTCAAACAACATTTGGGGGAAAGCAATTCAATTTAATAAGGAGTCTGGGTTTGGATAATTTCCGGTACATTTAATTTATTTGAGCCAGGACTCTCTGGTCACGCTGACACGTCTTATAGCGCTGCAGTACTGAAAATAAAACTCATTTTTGTTTATCAAGACCAATTCAATTAACCCAACCTACATTAACTCCCTCTTTACACTACGCCATTACTTTCACTTTGTCTACATTGCTTTTCTCTTTTCTTCCCTGAAGTGAGTAATTGACTTTGGCGGGAAGCTTTCGCGTGGCCTGGTACCCCTCTTATCCAGTCGCGAACACGTACACGCATTCTTAGGGTCTAATGTTTTTTTGGAGCCCTTGCCTTATCTGTGTATTTTCTATGTGTTAAGCATTTTGTAACCCACCTGCTTGCTAAAACCACTTTACAAATAAATCTTACATGAGTATCTGTCCCAAATTCAGATCTACACAATTTAGATCTGAAGCCCTGATAAAATATCCTCTAGCTAACTCACACTTAGAATTTCATTGGGCTCAATGCCATGATAGTAAAGTGTTCTTTCTGCACAGCCGGGGGCATACTCTACTAATGTGGTGCTGGCTTGCATCACTCACTTGTTGCGGCGGTAGAGAGCCATACACGCCACTCCAAGAAGACAGATCCCGGAGGCAATGCTGAAGATGGACAGCACCTGCCTCTGGTAAGTGTCACCACTCTCTGCGGAGAAGAGAATACGGTTCAGGCCATAGAATTTCTACCGTGACACAAAGGATATGAGCTGTGGCTGTGATTGAGCAGGGAGAAAGAAATGTATCATGAATTAACATACTGAGCTCACACAAACGGCGGATGGACGTACACACACACGGCCACACACAGACATCCACCCGCAATCGGCATTAGCATAAAGCGACCAATGCTGCTGTCAGTAAATGTCAGTGTTTGAGCATGGGATAGGGACATGGCAGACACAGGCAGGGCTCAGTGGCATGTGCTAAGTGAAGTGTGATAATCATTTCGTTCAGACAAACCCAGCAGGCAACACGGTGGACTGCCTGCACAGCAGGGGCCACACCGTGCGTGCATGCGTTTACTGTATGTGTGTCCTCATTTAGAGACTGATGGCGACAGGGAATTAGCAGCAAATGAATGCTCCCGGAGTTTCTTGTCAGACCCCTGCACATCAACGGAAGAGGCTTAAGGTCACAAGCAACTGGGACAAGCAGCAGTTGATCCTAGCAGATATCTGTCTGACTGAGCAGCTGGATTGTGGAGATGCATGACTCACCATAGTTTCAGAGGGTGACGGTGGGACATGCACTGGCTTATCAAAAACAAATCGCCTAGTGGTCAAAATGAGCACAGTCTAAAACCTGCAACTACTAAGTATGTGACTGATCCACTGTGGAGAGTTGGATAGACCTCTCTGTCCCAATGTCTTTCATGACCTTAAACACAACCTCCTGTGATGTTACTCAATCAATCAAAAACAATAAATCCCCCAGTGTCTGATCTCACCAACATGACAACAGCAGGGTGAAGTGCAGAAAACACCCCCCCCCCCCACCCGCCCCCTCCCCCCCCACCACACCCCCCCCCCGCTCTCC